AAGAAAGTATACTATGATCAGATTAAATCTAACATGTAAATTCTTTTATCATCTAACTATATTTATCTTAGCTTGGGTTAATTACCATCAAAATTCAATATAACGTTTTTTTAAGAATGGGACTAATCATGTAATTTCGCCTTTAAGAGTCATACACTATAATACTATAATACTATAATAATAATTGAAGTTTATGTGATGAACCATAGAAACAGCATCAATTTCTAAAGAGAAAAAAATCAATACATATCAGATATATATATCTGTACAGTACGCACGTACATTAATGTATTCGCATGCTAAACCACTACGTATAAAGTACTCATAACGATAAGGATAATTAGGACATTTCAGTGGTACATATTTATTATGCACAATCTTGTCTATTATTCGTTAAACGTAATAATTGTTTCTATTAATGATACTAATCGGCAATCGATTAATCACGAAATACAGTATCAAGTGATCGATTATAAATTAACTAATCAAACTAATCAATACATAGTCTTAAGCAATAAGATTATTTTTTATGCGGGATAAGTTATAAAGTATTGAGTACGTATTCGACATGCAAGCAAACTCCCCTGATAAGTAGGATAGTTTCCCTTCCCCTGTTGGATCGTGTGGATATTTCTATGATACAGAAAATTAAAAATTTATCGTCATCAAATTAGAGTGGGAATACAATAAGAATTGAAATTTAAGATGACACATTTCAAACGAAGCCATAAACTGGTTTTGACGAATTCAGAATCGAATTTCGATTCAATTTTAGATTTACAACCTCTTTAAATGTATTTAAGAATTTGAGAATGTCGTAATTGGGGGTTTTTTCTTAGTTTAAAAAAAAAAAAGGTTTAAAAATTTTTTAGGAAAAATGGCTCCTGCAGACCTGCAGATTAAAATCTAAAATTTTTCATCTTTCTAGGTAACAATTCCGATTAACGCCGTTCTACATGGAATTTCCAAACTGGATAACGTTAAAAAAGATTATAATAAAATGAGTTTTATTTGCACACGAGACTTACATATATGGTTATGTGGATCAAATTACGTATCAGTTTCCATTACAAATGTTATTCAAAATGGAACCTGAGAAGAGGATACGTACATACCATATTAATTGAAAATTTGAATCGATTCAAATTTCTTAATTAATGATGGTATAAATGAAAAATTTCGTAATTTTATGATAATTAATGATAATTAATTATAATTAATGATGGTAATAATAAAGTACAATGTTGGGCTACAATGGCAGACTACAATGTTGGGCTACAATGTTAGGCTACAATGTTGGACTTTCCTTCTTTATAAATGAATCGCATACATCATAAAATTAATTCGTTCTTTTTTCAAATATGAAAGTTAAAATTATTCCTTAACCACTTGAATGCGTGAATAACATGGAATTTATGACATTTTTTTTAAAAAAAATTGTGATTGGTGTAAAAGAGATGAATTTATAACGATAAAAGGCAACAAAAAAATTATTGTTTTACAATCAATTTCCAAATTAAGAGAAATAGAGAAATTCTGGATATGTACAATATTCTTAAGGTTTCACAATATCGATATGAAATAATATGAAATAATATGAAATAATAGAATATGAAATAGTAGCTTAACGTTAACTCTAGACATAAGCTTAATTCAGTTAGATGTATAGTGTAATTGCAACAGACTGCAACAGACCGCAAAACTTTAAATTCATATATATCTAACCAACTTTTTGCTATAAAAGAAATTAGTGGACTAACTTCGTAGCCAACATATAATCATGGGATCACTGATGATGTGATTCTTGGGCAAACAAATATATACAAATGTATGCAAATTCTGTCTTGCAGACAATGGCATGATGTTACTTGGATTGTTTTCAGCTTGCATGATCTAACATGTGGTCATACCTAGTATATTTTAGTTCGAATGAAAAAAAAAAAATTTCTTATAAACATTTTAATATTTTATTGGACCAAAGGATCTAAAGAGAGCTTGTATTCATATAATAACGATAATCGCATTGACTATCACTGCGCCACCGGGATTTGTCGATAATGCACCGATTTAGGACGAACACAATGGTAAAAAAGTACATTTTCATTACGTATTTACGGGGGGTCTCCATTATATTTTCTCAAAATTAAATAAACGTGAACTACAGAACTAGGGAATTTTTGATTATAAATATCACAATAATAATTGATCTGCAAGGTTACATTAACAAATTTACTACATATAAAAACCTGGCAAAACATGAGTTCCTTGTTCACCAAAAAAAGGTTGATAGTACCTTTTTACCTTTCTCTTTTTTAAATTTTTTTCTTCGAGGTTTTTTTTTGAAAATTTATGTAATTCAATTTTCATCCATTCTTTCTTGTATTTTTTATTTATTTATTTATTTTTTTTTTTAATGTATATCATACTTGGTCTTTTGTTTTAACGAGTCCAAAAAAAAATTGAATTCTTTTTGGTGATTATAATCATTGGAAAGACGATAAATTTCTTGCTTTAAACATTAAAAAAAAAAAAAAACCAATAGAACAACCAAATTACCGTCACATCCCATCACATCACATAAATACGACTTTATGATAATATATCATAATCCGATAACGATACTAGTAATTTGAAACCTCAACCACAAATTTACCACAAATTTACCACAAATTTACCACAAATTTACCACAAATTTACCACAAATTTACCACAAATTTACCGCAAATTTACCGCAAATTTACTGCAAATTTACATTAAAAATGTATGATAAAGAACCAACAGTAGTTGAAATTCAGCAAATTATAGCCGAACCTTCTGGTTCATCAGGTTCTTCAAATCAAACCCTCAAAGAATATGTAGTTAATACAGTTGATAATACTGAATATCTCACCGTACCTCAAATTCGCCCTCGAAAAGATGATGGTGCAGCAACAACTTTTAATAGGTTATCAGATCGATATACCTTTTCATTTTCTGCAGATTTAATTTCACAGGTTTGTTAAACTACATTTATGAAAATAATTGGCTTGTTTTATTAAATTTTGATGTTTCCTCACATTCATTGAATATTTCTATAATAGTTTGATAAGTATCGTGCGCAAATGCGTGAAAGTATACGTCAGGAATTAGAAGATAGACAAGAAATGGATGAACTGGTAAGTGACGATATGATTCCTTAATACGGGTGGATATATTAATAAAAATTTCAATTAAAATAAACTAATTTAAATAATCTAATTTAAATAAACCAATTTAAATAAATAGCAAACACAAAAATCAGAAACCTTTGAAACTTTAGAAACCGCAATAAATGATGACGAAGGAACATTTAGTGTTCACCAAGTACATCATTCCGGTTCAAATATGTATTCACAAGGCTCAACGAGCCGAGATATTGATAGTGCTCCAAAATCATGTTTACCAAAATCAAACGGAAGAAAACCATTAATATTCTCTTTCTTACGAGGGAAAACAAAACCACGACGACATATTACATCTTCAAATTTGGATAATCAATCTATATCAGGAATTGGAACATCTGTAATTGATAATGAGGAAATTACAATGTCAAATGAATCAGATTTACGACAATCTTCACATCAAGAAAAAACTAGTTTATCTAAAAGATTCATAAGAAAGATAAAGAAAATCGTTACTTGCTCATAAAAATTATTGAAGTTTGAGCAAAACATTTATTCTTTTTGATCAGATTCTATTTAATAGTAAATTAATTTGGCAACTTTTTTGGCATCTAATTAATCACACAAAATAATTTGGCACTTATATAATTTCAAAAAAAAAAAACCTTTTTTTTTTAAAACCGCAAATATTTAATTTTTTTTTTTTGTATGTACAATATTTGTAATATTCGCATATTCTTTTATTTATTTAATTTTTTATTTTTTAGGCTGGATCTAAGATTTAAAATTTTCATTATTACAATTGCACAAAAATCTACCTTTTTTTACATTTATTGATTTCGTATTTTGTTACGAATTACCATGCACTTTTCATCATTCACTCTCACGATTACTAATTTGGCAAAATCAATTATCATCAAAAATTCAATAATCTATTGTTAAATAATGTCATTTTATAGTACTGTATTTTAATTAAAAACTATAGTGGCAAATCAAAAACATATATTTTGTATTCATGTACCTAATCATTCGTTTAACGTTAATACGTATTTATTTCATGAAAAATTAAGAGTGAATACAAAATCGATATATATTATCGTTATGTATATGCGTTTGGTGAAATGGAGATTAAATTGCGGTCGGGTTAAAATTATTTGAGTCCGATCTAAATTACATAATCGCACCGATGCATAAACAAATGCTACACGGTTAACCAAGATTTTTTAATTCAGGTATTGCAATCATTTCAAATTATATATCACCAATTAAAAAAAAAAGCCGAATTTTAGAATGTTCTATGAGACCAATTGCATCACAGCATCGAAAACAAATTAGCTATACAGAGCTGGTTTTGTATATATAACGATAATAAAAGTATTAGAATATTCTTTAATATATATAGTCAATTTTATTTACTCGCTAAAAATATTTAAAATATTTAGTTGCTAAAAATATTTAAAATATTTATATAGTTGTTAATGCACGCATGTATATAGTATAATCGATAAATTCGTTACTTTTACGTACAACTTTAAGTTATACCAATAATCATTGATTTATTGCAACTTTAAGTTATACCAATAATCATTGATTTATTGCAACTTTAAATTATACCAATAATCAATGATTTAATTATAAACTATATAGATACAATTTTTATAAACTATATAGATATAATTTTTATACCCAATTTTTTACAAACTTTATTATTCATTCAAAAAGCCAAAAAATCTATCATTCGTCAATTCTTCTATACATTTTTCATTCCCACACATTAGAACCTTTTTCATTCTTTCAGTATCTTTTAATTCTTCCCACCTACTATGAATATACATCAATGCTTGATCTTTTAACCAATAATTATTCGTTGCCCATCCAAGCAGTAATACATCATCCCAATTATCTTTATTTATCATTTCTACTATACGTAATATAGCGATTTTCGCCAATTCTTCTATTTCTCTCATGTCTGCTTCTGCATAAATATTTACCAACGTATCAAATGTCAATCCATCTTCAAGAATTCCTGTATATAAAAAGTAAATTATATTTCTAAAGATTTTATATTCAACATCTTTAATATGAATAGTTAACGATTTTGATTCCACCCATTCCCCATTAAACATTGTCTTAAAATAAATTGATCTTGAAGCCAGGACAAGTCTTGATACATAAAGTTGTGATCCACAATCAAATTTAAATACAATATCACTAAATCTTTCGTTATCGAAATATTCATCTAATTTTGGTCCAAATTTCAATAAAATATCAATATTAAGTATTTCCAAATCGTGATTTTTTGCTGTATAATTTTCATCAAAAAAATGTACTCGAATTACTATATCAACTTTATCCATTCTTATTAAATTAAATTTTGAATCAAGATTATTAGGAAATATTGTTCCAAATTCACAAAATTTCACACTTCCCCATGTTGGTTCTCTATCATTATTAAATATAAATTGTTTTTCTAACATGTTTCTATAACAATTTAACCTTGATAATCCTGTTGTTACGGTGGAATTTGTTGAATTTCTTGTGATTTTAGGTATTTCAAATTCATGATTTATTTTAAGTATTTCAAATCTCCACTTTGAAGTTCTTGTTTTTATGTTATTTTCTTTTTCGAAATTACTTTGTATTGCTGAAAGATAAAGTGAAATATGAGTCTTTACTTTTTTAGATCGATGACCATGAGGATAGAGTAATAATCTCCATTTATGTTCAATTTTATTGTTATTTTCTGTAATGTCTGTTGAATTTTCGTTCGTACCGACTTGTTCGCTTGTTGAATGAGAGATAAAAGGATCACTATAATAATATTCAAGGCATTTTTGATTATAGAGATCTTGAAAATTCTTAATAATCCATGTATATGTAAATGGTCCACTTGTATTATTCGGTGGTCGTTCCGTTTCTTGTTGATAATGTGAGGAATCAATATGATTACCTTTATTACTAGCATTTGTTCTTCTTATAAATTTTTTTAATTTATCCATTGTTCTGTTCTTTTTTTTTAAACCTACTGTATTAGCCTACTGTAATTGTAAAAAAAAGGTAAATAGGGGATTTAGCATATATATTTAATATTGCTTTGAAGACAAATTTTAACGCTAAATGGATGGAATCTCGGTCATAACACGCGGATCATTAACTTAGTAGGATTCTCTGACTGGCTTGCCCGTCATGAAAAATAAACATTTTAGCCTTCCAATGATGCCATCCAATAATGGATCGGGTCACAAAAAATGTTTGGCTAAAATTATCATACGAACTTACTTATGATAACTTATTTAATATTTGTTGATCTAGATAAAATAAATACGTATCAAATTTTTTCATTGATATTTTCCGTTTATAATTGACAATCAATACATAAATGAATACGTATAGCTATGCATTTCCTGAATTAAATAGCGAATGACATTTGGAAACACAAACTTTTTTTTTTTTTTATGTTTATTTGTAACATGAATTTGAAATACTTTTTTGATATATAGATATACGTAGATTAAAAGGGTTTATTACTTTATTCTAATTATCTGTTATATAGTTATAGACTCTAATACATACGTACTGTAACGTACTTAGAAAATTTTTTTTACGTAAATGCGTATCAATAAAAAATATACAAACCATAAATTGAAATACGTGTAACTTTATAAAGAATTTTAAGTTATCCGTATAACTAAATCAAAAGTTTTATTTATATATGCAGCATATATATTTATATTCATATTTATATTCATATTTATATTCATCTTTATATTCATATTTATATTCATCTTTATATTCATATTTATATTCATATTTATTCATCTTTATATTCATATTCATATTTATATTCATCTTTATATTCATATTTATATTCATATTTATTCATCTTTATATTCATATTCATATTTATATTCATATTTATTCATCTTTATATTCATATTTATATTCATATTTATTCATATTTATATTCATATTTATTCATATTTATATTCATATTTATATTCATATTTATACAACTTAAAAGTTTAAAATAAAAAAAAAACTCTTAAAATTTATATTATTAATTTATTATCCAGAGTGAGGTAAAATCCAGAATCATTGTCATATAATCACGATTAGTGTGAAATATTTTATGGTCAAAACTCTATGCACCCCTGAAAATTAATTAATTGATGATATGAAAATAACGAACTTGGCTTGATTTGTACGTATCAAGAATATAAACGTGTAAAAAGAATTAAAAAAAAGAATAAAAAAAAATACATACCGATACCGATACGTGTAAATTAATAATAGTAATAGACTTTGATTAAATTGTTGTTAAATACTATTACAAGTGTTAAACGCTATCGCTATTAAATACGTGCTCAAATAAATGTGGCAGATTAAAATAAAATCAAATTAAATAGACAAGCCACCGAAAAATACTAAATTTTTGAGTGCATTTTTTTTTTAAGTATAGATTAAATGGAAGCCACAAATTTCATTTTAATCCGATTTCGCTATGATTTGCGACAATAATTAATGAATTATTAAAGTTCAGGCTCAAAGGTTTCCAATTCCTACGTACGTCGTTAAGATTGCAAATTTTATTAACGTTAATCATTATGTAGTTTTAAAAGTTTACTAGTCCTTGTTTTCCCGCATGCCTCACATAAATCATAAGGGTGCATATGGCATTATATGCAAAACAATTAATCTACGCAAGGGTTTTCTGCTCTATCTATATATTACTCTTGATAGCG